TTATCTCAGTTCAATTCAATTAAAACAAGAGCCACTGTTACATATTAGTTATTCTAGCTAAATAAGAAACTGTTAATTATATCATTCCACAAAACACAACATGATATCTGAACATAAACACAAGAGAGAAAACTTCTGGCAACATTTAGATCAAGTTTTGAGTCCACAGAAAGAGCTTCTATTTTTTGTACTATTTTTAAATAAAATTGAGAGCAAACATAAGTAGTGAAGTGATGCAGTCCTTCCAAAGAAATATGAATAAGAGCGCACTAAAAACAGGGTATTAGGAATACTACTGTGTACAAACAAAATAAAACCTCAAATTCTATTTAGACATAAGAGATCTTTTTCTTTACTGAGGTAATATCAAATGCATATTAAACTTTAAAACAATATAGCAAATGGTAAACATCATAGCAGAGATTTTATTGCTTTCACTATCTGGTGGGTACCACTAGTTATACATCTTTGAACCCTAAGCCAATTGGAGATGGCAGAAATCTACTGATGAGTTCTTCATTACACCACATCTATAATGAATTTGACCACAATACTGCTCTACTTTTGGAGCTGAGGTTGGTGTAAATGAGTAGAAATAGCAAAACAGACTGACCAGGGAATACAGAAGCAGCAGTGTTACTTGACATCATTTTGAATCTTCCAGTCTTATAGACTGTCACTTTCCAGCAGTCATGTCATTAAAACATCTAATGTTGATCATAATGTTTACTTTGCATACATATATTCTTAAATCTGCAAGCAAATGCGTCAAAATATAGATTATTTGATTATGTTTTAATATTAAAGTTAGAATACACATTAGATATTTAATCCAGAGTTTTTACTTCACGTTTAACACCCTGTAGGGTAGTACATCTCTACTTCAGGCTGCAAATCTTTTCTTTGTATTCAAATTATACAGTGAATCTATCTCAACCTAGTTTAGTGATGATTTATTTAAATCCTACCTATCTAATGACTGATGATTTATAATAAGCACAGATCACGATAAATGCAGTCATTTCGTCACATTTACCTTTGCTGCCTAAAATAGTCTTTTCTGGTGCCTCAGTCAAGGACTTCGAATGAACACTACCTCAACAAAATCATGTGTTATAGTGTAGCTAAGATTTGTACTTAGTCTAGTTATTTTGTTCAATAAACATTAACTGTTAATTTCCCATACTTTTAGGACAGGAAAGGCTGATAAAGCAATGGAGAGAAAGATGCTGTACAAATGAGAGATACTATGATCATTGATGCTTTTACATGCTCTTCCAGTTCTACCCAATCTCACAATTTGTTGTTGCTAAATTGTTATTACTGTTTTTTTTTTCCTATTTTTGGAAAGGATTGTGAACTGCCCTGGCAAGGCTTAGAGCAGTGAAAAGCAAAATGGAAAAGTCTCTATAGAATTTCAAATAGTATAGTTAATGAAGTTTGCTCTCCTCAAACAAAGAGAAGCTGAGTAAAGTTTCTCATGTATGGTAGTTTTAAGCAGCTTTAGAGATGGGGGTAAATGATGCTTATTACAAAGGATGCTTTTAAAATAGAGAAGGAAAGGGAAGGCAAGAAAAACAACCATGCCAAAGTGAGTGAAAGAACAGAAAGAGAAGAAAAGATGTCTGGGAGTAGAGAATGAAGAATAAAATCAGAGAGAAGATATTGACTGGGTTATGTGAATCATCAGACTCTCTTCTTATATGGAAGTCACAATATAAAGCCTTTTCCAATTTTTTCCATGCTATTGCATAATCTTAATAGGAAAATAATAATCCATAGATTAACTAAGCGTAAAATCAAGTATTTTTGAGTTTTTTTCTTCAGAGAAAATGTCTGGTAAGCGAAAAATCAAATACAGGAAGAGTCAAGATTTGCTTGTGTAAAGACCCTCTAGGTAATTTTTAAAATATTAGCCTTGAAATAGGACATATAGTAAAGAAATAGCTGCACTGAATGTTAAAATGAGAAAAAAAAAAGAAAGACAAAGCTGTAGCACAGAAATTTTCAGAAAATTAATGGTCTTGCTATAAGTCTTATGAGAATTTTGATAAAAGACAATGAGTATCTCAGCGGAGTGATAGCAGGATTAGCTCTTCCTCTTTTCCTCACACAGCTAGATAAGCATTTCTTGCTATTACATCTTGAATTCTGCTTTTTGTTTGTTTTGTTTGTTTGTTTGTTTGTTTTGTTTTATTGTTTGTGGAGGTAATTCATTATGACACATTAAATTGTCCTGTAAAGACTTCTTTGTCAGAGTAGAATAAAAATCACAAAGTGTTAAGACTTTATTCTAGCATTTATTTTATACAGTTAGAGTATACTATCTTTTGTAGTACCACTCCTCCAAAAGACTGAAGCAATTTGCTGTGTTTTAAAGCAACTTAAAAAGGGCAGTCAGTAAAACTGTAGGGCTCTGAAATAATACATGTAATAGAATAATTGACTATTCAATATGAAAACTGGAATTCTTAAGAATACAACATATTTTAAGCACCAGTATAATGCTAGGGCTATCATTTCTGAGTCATAAATAACAATTCTCTCCACTGGCCTCCCAGAGTCTAAAGCCTATCACACACATTAGTCAGTCTCCAATGCTAAGTGAAAACACTTCCTGTATCTGTAACACTGAGTGGAGGAACAATTCGTCTTCAACTTCAGTAGCAATATGTTCAAAGAAAATTGCTTGAGTTATGCCTTGGCAAAAACGTATCTTTCCTTCCTCTCTGTTACTTCTAGGTCTGAGGACTATACACATGTTTAGAAGACAATGACGAAGAACTAGAAAAGATATATATACTCCCTTTTTTTCTTTTTTTCTTTTTTTTTTTTAATGCAAAGCAATGTGTTTAGTATGGATATTTATCTACTTTATCAACTTATTTATTTTGCTTATTAATTTAGATCATGAACTTCTTGAAAACAGGATACCCTTGCTGAAATTCTTTGGAATATATATATAAAAAAGAGACGTGGCTTAAGATAGGAGCCCCAAACTGTAGTGTAATACAGAATAGGCAGTAATTTCCCTTCCTTTCCTGACTGATTAGGAAAAATTGATAGGAATTGAAAGACTATGAAAATAATTAAAATATAATATTATTAAAAAATCTTGGTAAGGAAAAGATAACACCATCTATATGCCTGCATGTATCAAAAGATTAAAGGTAAAGTAAAGGTAAAGTAAACTTCTCATTTCCATAATGAATATAGTTCATTACTGTCATGGTACTATGTTTTTGTTTTTGTTTTTGGGTTTCAGTATTCCACATCAAAACATCATGTAGTGTACGGGGCATTAAAGTGTCACTGCCCCAATTCCAGCTACCTATCCCTGTACATTACAGCAGTCACGGGATCTGGCCCTTCCGGGTGGGGGGGGCGCTCTCTTGCTGCCTGGCAGTGGGTGCTGAAGGTGCTTTCCTAGCCATTCCAACCTTTTCAGGTTTGAATCGGTCCCGGGAACTCTCTCTCTCATCTGATTTATTAATCTCAATTTCAATTAAACTGTATATATTGTGTTATTTTGTATTCCGATATTATAGTAAAATAAGTTTTCCTCCATAGATTGTTGCCGCTGCTCTTTTCCTCCCTTCCTTCCTTCCCATTTTTTGTGGGACTGGGGTGGGGGGGAGGGCAGAGGCCTGTCGCCCCTGTCACGGACATAGATTGATCTGGTCAACTCCGTGACAATTACATATTATTTCTAACTTGATTTTTCTCATTAGGATTTCTAAATTGCTATGTAAGCACTGTCCAATTCAGCCCATTGTGTTTTTACCTGTCTGAGATTACTGCAACAGTATTCTGCTTTTCACTTTAAAAATACGGTTATGTTAGACTGATAAACTAGTGTTGCATAATGGACAGAAGCATCCTGTAATTTGAAAAATTAACAAAGATCTGCCATGCACTAGGAGAAACAAAGTAATATCTGCAACTCATGGAAGTTTTTATTTGAACAAATCTAATACCTTCATCTTATTCACAATGCAATTATGTCTCTTTTTTTTTTTTTCTGTATGTCAGTATATTCAGAATTCCCAACATAATTACTGAACCAGAAATTCAGTTTCATTGGTCTTTCATTACTAATGAGATCAAATACTAACCATAACTAAATATAATAGTCAGACATTTCTGACTATTAAAAAAAAAAAAAAAAAAAAAAACAACAAAAAA